CTCAAAAAATAATTACAAACAAGGATTCCATGAGGAAGATTATTGTCAAAGCACTACAATTACCTCAATGTCATACTTTTAGTTTGTGACTTTTTTCCAGAAAGATGATAATGGGGTTCTTTTTAGGTTATATTGGACAATGGCGAGTTTCGTAATACGATGGCTTCACAACTACAATCATTTTGTTATTCAAAAATCATTCTTCTGGACATAAAAAAAAAAATTTTTTTCTTAATTTTAATAAAATGATTAATCGATCGAATATTAAACATTCGAGTTCACCACATCATCAATAGGTTTTTCAACCAATAACTTCATGCCTTTTCCATATTATAATAAGCAATAGCATTAATAATATGGGTGGTATGCTATTAAAATTGAGATACGAGTCCGTACCCCCATTTTAATAGCACACCCATATTATAACAATTGACATTTCAGAAACGCGCCTTGTGTTATGTGTGTTATGTTATCTTAAGACATTATAGGAGATTAGAACGAATATAAATTATTTAAAATAAACATTTCAAAAAAAAAAAAAGAATTTGATTTCGCTGCTAATTCACAATAAAGATGTATCAAATTATATTGCTAATTTTTTTTAAATCCATTTCGGATATCTCATTAAAACCAAATATAGTAAATTTGTGATATATCTTTATATTTATGTCATTTATATAATTATTATTTACCAATTTTACAGTACAGTATATAATTTATTATTTAATTAATAAAATTTTGGATATTATGTTCTCGTGATCATTTACTAAGAGGAAATAAAATTACTGGCTAATTAAAATTACGTACTACATCCTTTCCATCTACCTAATTCATTCGATATGGAAGACCATCGAAAAAATGAAAACGAAGCCATAAAAAATGGAGATTATCTTACAGCTTGGTCAGAATATACTCTTGGAATTGCAAAGAATCCGAAAGATACAGTTTTATGGTGTAATCGAGCCCTTTATTGTCTCAAAGCTGGTCACCCAGAATTGGCACAACGAGCACAAAACCTTTTAAAGAACTGTCAAGAAGCGTCACAACAAATACTCCTTTGCAAAGCGAAATATCGTTATGCTGAAGGGTTGGCCGCGATAAGAGATTATGAAGAGGCGATTAATGTGTTTAATGACCTTATTACAAATCATGAGACTTTCCTTACTGACAAACAACTATGTGTCTAACGTATCAAAGATTGTCAGAAATAAAGAGAACTATCTGAAATAACTTCACAGACCCAAAAGTTTTTTACTTTTCGTGGGAGTTATCCTTGGGACTCTCGACCAAGCAAACGAACATCCCCAGACACTTTGAAAAAACTTCAAGAACATCTTGAATTTCTTACAACGAGTCAACAAACTCTTGAAAAACTCTCTAAAATAATGAAATTTCAATTTCGCAGTCAAAATAAAGATAATACTATTTTACGCGTAGTAGAAGTCAAATTTGATGATTCTTCGGTCAATCTGTAAGACAGATGGGAATTGTAGCAAATGTTGACATAGCTAGAAATACACCGATATTTCAAGAGGAACATTTCCTTAGAGCTCATGATTATCAAAAGCAACGTTGTAATTATTGCCTTGTAGAACTTGAAGGCAAGGAACAACATCCATGTGAGAATCCTCAATGTATTGATATTTAGTGTCGAACAAAATGTCGTGATATGGCTATGACTTACCATAAATGATTATGTGGAAAGATAGATCTTACAACCAATTCGATAGTAAAGGATGCTAAATTTGAAATATTTGCTTTAATTTAAATGCTTATACTCCAACTTTTTGCTATTGCGAAAAAATGAAATAAATGCCCATTGGACTTAAAAGAAATTCATTTCCTTGCACGGAAAAATATATTTCATGGAAAAATGGAATGGAAACATTATTTCATTCAACATTACAATGAAATCATTCAGATATTAGATATCTCTCCATACGATTTACGATTTGATCTTATATAACAATGCATTTTTGCAACACTCAGAAAGAATATTTAATATTAATCCGATAATCTCATTGATAAATCATTCTTGTGAGCAAAATGTTAGGAGTAACAGGATTTATGACCCGTTTGTCACTGGTAATGCAGTTAAACCATGGATTTCAAAGTATTATTACACCGAAAGAGATATCAAAAAAGGAGAGCAATTATTTATTGAATATATTGAAGGAAGCATTAGTAAAGCTGAACGACAGGTTAGATTGCTTGGAGGATATGGTTTTATATGTAAATGTAACAAATGTCAACGTGAAGATTAAATGGAAGTTCAGAGATTATAACGCAAAAAAATATCAGATCTATCAGCAAGAGCAATAATAGAAGTCTTAGAAAAATGTTGTAATAACGTTGTAAATGATGCAAACAAGATATATGAAAATAAATAACATTGCAAACTAACATGAGTATATTTTCTGAAGTATACTCCTATAACTTAGGAATTAAATACACTTGTTCTTTGCCTCTTAAAATTGATTTCTCAATTTGAAAGAATTGATGACGAGTTATATTCAATTTTTTTTTACTTAAAAAGATTGTAGTAACTTGTTTGATATATCATGCTTCTATTATTATTAATAAAACATAAATTTTTGAATAAATGATCAAATAAATAAATTAAAAAGTTTTTTTTTTTTTAAAAAAAAAGAAACATCTTTAAATAATAGATAAAGTAATTAGTAATATTTCTAAAGCAAAGAAATAAATAATTAATTAAAATTATCCTTTCAAATTACTATTTTATTCTAAAGGATCTAAGAATCATTTTCTTAAAAAAAAAAAAAGAAAGAAATTTTAGTAACATCACTAAAGTAAAAAAATAAAAAAATAAAATAAATTCAAAAGTCTAAATCTCAATAAAAGAAAAATAAATATTAGTAATGTTCTAAAGCAAAAAAAAAAATAAATTTCAAATTATCATTTCAATCCAAGAATCCAGAATCTTTTTTTTTTTTTGAAAAAAAAGAAAAAGAAACATTAATAATGTTCCAATGACTAAAAAACAAAAAATGAAAAACCCCTTCTCCTAAAATACCTTTCATAGCCCAAATCAAAATTCAGATCCAGGAAGGTGTTTCCTAAAAAAAAAAAAAGGAATGTTAATGACGTTCCAATGACAAAAAAAAAATGAAAAGCCCCTCCTCTCAACATACCTTTCATAGCCCAAGCCAAAAGGGATCTTACATATCAAAAAGAAGTTTATAACGAAAGGAAGGGAATAATTTTATTTTTTAAGTTAAAAATCAAAAAAAAAAAACAAAAACAAAAATTTTTTTAGAATAGCATTCGGGCTGAGATCTTTCACATCAGAGGTAAGTCTATAATGGAAGGAAAGAAATAATTTTATTTAAAATAAATACTTTATAAATTGTTGTTTAACAAAAAATGTAGACTTTCTTGCACGAAATTTACTAAATATTCCATCTATACCTCTGTGATAGTTAGTGTTTTTTTATCATATAAAGATTCATGAGATATGCATAAAATAAAATTTATACGCTCATTATTTTTTTCTTGTGTAACTATTTATTATATACTTATCTAAATGTGATTGAGTGCGACTGAATGTGATTGAACAAATTTGTGATTGGTTCAATATAATGAAGTTGGCGTCCAGAAACATAATTTTACTATGATATAATTAAAGTTAATTCTATAATGTCATTTTATAGAATAACAATTTATCACCTGCATGATAAATATAAATTATTATAAAAAATGACACCACAATTTGGTAAAAAACAATAGGAAATTTCAACACAAGTTCAATAAAAATTGGTTAAAAATTATAAAAAACAATATGAATTTTTCAACACAAGTTTGACACATTTTCAACACTATCACAGGGAGGTGTTATTTAGTAAATTTATGTTCACATAATACCATTTTATTATATCATTATGTTTATTACGTAAAAAAAGCTATTAACGTTTTTACGAATATTATTAACGTTATTGATGTTAAAAAAAACCCTCCTAAATTATTTAATATTTTTACGTTAAAAAAAGAAACATTATTATATTCGTTAAATGTTTTATATTAGATTAATATTACAATAGATATTGATGCTCATCGAGTGAATGCATTTCAAAAACTTGTAATAAAAGAAATATTTGATGAAATAGAATATTTATTACTAATAAATATAATGGAATACGAGTTTTTCGAGACAGCGGTAATTTTTATTTTTTATTTTAATTTTAATTTTTAATTTTTTTTATAATAAATTTTATTTTAAAAAAAAAATTGTAATATCCAAATAGTTACACAACTTAATATTATTTTACCTTTTTTATTTTTAGTAATATCACGAGAAATTTTTTATCATGAGATCTTGTTGATATTTTTGTTTATTTATTTTTTTTTATATATATATATAATCTTTTTAATTTTTTTTTTTCCTCAATTTTTTTTTATAATGAACAAATTTAATTTTTTTTTGCCTTTAAAATGGAAACAATTTTATTTATAATGCAACAAATGTTATTGGTAATTTTTGTGATAACAATTGTTCTTTGCTACGTTTCAAATAATAAATATTCATAAAAAAATTTATAGGAAATTAAAGCTTTGCAAGAAGCAAACGTAATGCCAATGCTAATGCCAATACTAATACTAATAATAACACTAACACTAACACTAAAACCAACAACAACTTCACCAACTCCTATTGAAAAACCAATACAACGATATTCTTCTGCTAAGAAGATTCAGAAAGTTTTTCAAATGGACAAAATAAAGTATCAAAACATTTTGGTAAGAATAAATAAATTATAAATATTATATTATTTATAATATTTATTTTTATTTTTTTA